GGTCAGCTTTATGATTAAATCTTCATGTTCACCCGGTTTCAATTCCGTGGACACAAGAGTTCAGAATTCCACTTTCTTTTTTCCGAGTTCGAGAGTTAGTGAGTGGATCTATCCTCTCGCTCGTTGCAGGGCTCGCCGAGATATGTACATAAAGTACGTATGATGCTATGATTATCGGAGTCACCGTTACAGTATCCCCGTATAATCATGCCGTTGCTGGTTCAGCCTGCTCGCCAATGATACCCAACCTCGTTCAGTTGTGATGTTGTAGTTTGCATACCCCGCATCCGAATATATGTGCGCCGAGGTTGACTAACTAACCCCGTAGTACATGGAATCCTCTGTAGCCCTCTTAGATGATATCACTTTCCCTTCATATATCAACATTTCCGAAACTGCTGTGGAGACAGGGTCGGTATTCGCCCCCATAAATGAGGTGTGTGGCATCATGCAAAGTCGATTCTTTTTCTCCTTTCCGGAAGCTTTGCGGGGTAGTAGATATCTCCTGGATTTGGGATGATGATTGTGGGGGTGTTGAGGTTCTGGTATGCAGGTTCGAGAGCGTAGAGCACCTTAATTACGAGTCTAGTGTGTGTTTTGTGGGGTGTGTATTCGAATCCGTTTGCTCCAAGGTACGATAAAGCGAGGTGAAGCAACGACGTATAGCACGATAGCGCTCTTGCAACATTTATCACACACTCTAGCATACATGTACGTATGTGTAGACTAATTTAGACTCCTTTATGTACTGTGCTGTAGAGTACACATGTATACGGTTGTACTAATGAAGAAAATGAAGGGGAAAATAAAAATAAAAGAAAATGAAGAAAATGAAGAAAAATGCTAGATGATTAACTAGTGCTGAGCAAAGTATTCACATGAGGCCTTTTTTTACTGCCCTATTTGCAGGTTAAATATTATACATGATATCTGCGTGTAGCTTTTTAGTACATGTACCTTATGCAAGAGGGGTATGTATGTACACGGTCCAATCGCAATCATAGAATATCACTCGTGACATCTACTAGCGCCGTCACACCTGCATAAATCAGGGTTGCCCTAGAGAACATAGTGCGGTTCACTAGTACAGTACTGTATGTACTTACATGTAGAGCAAAAGCTACATGTACTCTAGCTAGCGCCCATGATGACGAACAAATCCCAAAACCACGGCACTCTCTCCGAGACCAACCTTACCGGGAGGTCGGTCGTTGCCCAGACCTCCGTTAAAGACAAATTTCGCCCTCTCATTGACAGGGCACTAGTGCACACAAGGAGGGGGAAAATTCAAAAGGGGAGGGGAGGGGGGCGTGGAGGGGTTTGTTGCATGCATGGATGGAACTTGAGCCGCACGCAACTTGGAACGACGACACTTGATCTGCAGCAACAGCGAATCCTATTTATTCACCGCAGTGCGCGGCCCCCGACCGGCTTCATGATCTGATTCGGGCCTTGATATTTAAATCTTGTCGACAAGATTGTACTAGCTGATTTCCCCGTTGGCCTCAATTAACGATTGGACTTGTTCAAAATCCACTCTTGTGGTTAGCTGTGTGTGCTAGCCCCTCTTTCGGGCCCCACGGAAGGATCGATTCCAGCGAGTGATACCCCATGAAAAACTCGAACCAACATGCCCCCATCAAGTTTTCTCTTTCCATATAAAAAACGTTATATGCGCGGGATCTACACAACTGCATAAGCTAGCCTTGGCCTACTTTAGCAGACCTCGAAAGAGAAGAAAAAAAGTTCTCATGTGATCGATACATCCAGTAATCTAGGCAGCGTCGTGATTCGCCCTTTGTTCCAGCAACAGGCAATGTTTATCCGGACAACTACATGTACCTACCGTACGTCGTCGTCCCGCGGCCCTCACAAGATATTTTTTCTTTTCGATTGTTGCCACGTGTACGACGAATGAAGTTTGTAAAAATCGCTAATTCGCACCTGTGCGTCCGTCATGAGGCCAAGAGGGGGGGAAATAAAAAACAATAATAATAAAAAATAAAATAAAATAAACGGTTTCCTGGGAGGAACTGAATTAGCGATTTCAAAAATTGTTGGTGGAGGGGCCAGCTGGAGGAGGGGAGGAAGAGAGGTGGAGGTTAACTAGAGCCTCACTTTCCTTTTCGCGGTGGTAGGGGAAGTGCTGCAGCTGCTGTGCTGTTGTCACAAATGATCCAATTCTGTATTATGAGTGGAGAGGCAGTCATGGAGAAGTCTTCACCTCGTGGAGATTCCGATAGGATCAGCGACACCTCAGGTGTTCTAGGGTAGTCGGTGATGGATCTTCGTTGGTCCCTTGGGTGGAGTTTATACTTCATGGGTTTGGATTGTAATTTTTGATACGCCTTCACATCCTCAAATTCATGACGAAAATGCGTACTTTTCCCTCTGCATGTCAGCTCGAGGTGATCTACGTCATGGATGGTCTTTTGATGTTCTGGATCAGCGCAATTTATATTACTCGGCATTCATGATCATCACGGGGTTGAGGGATAGCAGATAGATATGTGCGCAGCGCAGGTAAGTACAACGTGTGTATAATCAATTTTTAGAGTGCTGAACATAGAACAGAAATCGAGATAGATATACGTGTATGACAATAAACTAGTAAGGAGATAGATGAAGGGAAGATCGAAAGAGAAACGTCAACGCCACCCCCTGGAAACCGACACCTTTTGTACCAACGCAGAATTTCCCCTGATGCGCATTGACGATGGAGGTAGGAGGACGCCGAGGAACTCATGGTTCCCGGGGATCTACAGGTACCCTCTCCTCAACCATCTTTCCTTCATGATTCTTCCACCTGTTTTCCATGCGCTGATCAGTGATGTTCTCCTGAAACACTTAGGGGGTAGTCATCGCACAGACCTCTTCACGTGGTGTCGGTGTTTATCGTGTGGAGCACCAGGAGCAGCTACCACTGGATTTGCATGCGAGTTGCTCATCGTCCTCACGATTGCCCTGAAAAAAATACCATTAGTCTGGCTGTCATCTGTCGTCCGCGGCAAACAAATTTGTAAAGGAAGGGGTTGAAAATAAATTACCGTTGCAACTTGTCCTGCTCCTCTTCGTTCGATACGCCCTTAATCCCAACGCGAACGCCACTGTTAGAGATGTCAATATTCTTCCCCTTGAGTTGCTCCTTTGCATCCTCGGACCACTGTGGTATCTTCTGAGAGACAACGAAGCCCGCGGCGCCGATTAGGCCGATGAAGACGAAAACCGTTATCGCTGAGAAAATGTCCGAGAATGATGTGGCTGTCATGGTTGTAACTGTAACGTCTTGAAAATATTTTTTTCCCCTTGTGCCTTATGCTGTTGGATTTTTTCTTTCTTTCTTTCTTGGTGCTGCAATGCTGTAGCTAGGTAACTGTACTACTAGCTGTTGGTCTCTCGAAAGTGCAGTTTTACGATGAGATCTGGTTCTGGCCGTGAAGAAAGTGTCCAAGGTGTCGTGTCTGTAAGGGCAGGAAATGAGAATCATGGTGTCGGGTTTTTTTCTTTGTAACAACACGGACGGACTGACGGGCTGACGTAGAGTTGGCGCCTTGTCTACCTGCTTGAATCGCGATCATCAGTACCAAATACCAAAGAGGACTGAGACAATATAATGTACAGATGACGTAAAGTTTTGCCAAGACATATTCACGTGGGACGCGCGCGCAGACAACGACAAAAAAAACTGCAAAGACCTTTGGACGACGTTATGGTACTGCATCCGAAAGAAGGAGGTTATTATAGAATAATCTTATAGGGAGGAGATCTTATGGTACTGTTTCATGTAGTGTGGTACCTACTGATGGCTGGAATCCACTTTATTCGTGGTTTTGGGCCATGGAACGTTGTTGACTTACGAATAGTAGGAACTTTGCATTATCTGCAGCTGTATTCTAGGGCCCGATAAACCCACCATAAAATTTCCCCTCCAAGTCAGGACTTATTGAATAATGGTATCACTTCTTCCCTGCATATCTATAAGTGCGAGAGTGAAGAGTTATTTTATGCTTAGAGAATAGAGTTTTTACGATTGAGAGCCGCATCTCGCAAAATATTATAACGTTTTGAAAGACATGTTACGCGTTACGTATATGTGCATTTTGAAGATATAGCTCAAGTTTAAGATAAAAAATATCTGAATATATGCTTTACAGAAATCTCGTACGAGTATGGAGCAATGAAGTGTTGAGAAATAGAGCTTATGAGCGGGTGTGATAGAATTGAACTAGGAGGTAGATTCCATCAATAGCGATTGCATTAAAAACTCAAGAAGGATCTGTAATCCCAATTCATGAACGACATCATCATACCTACATGCGTAGTACTGCAAGACGAAGATCTCGCTGTAGGATAGGTGGTGTGATGTTTATAGGACAAACAGTGTACACTTTCGGCAGTTCATCACAGTATTACACTTACCCCCACATGTACATCGGACTCGGGCCAGTGTCTTCAGCTTGAGAACCCGGGGCGCCGTCGACAAGTGGTATCGTTTCAGCCAGACCTCACTCTTCTGCCTTTCGGAGGTGGTTATGGTCCGACTTACTAGATGCAATTAGCTTATTCGCCTTTATGAGGGACGCTGAACACTCTGACCAATCTTAGGAGTGATACCACGCCAACATGCAGCAACAACAGCCTTTTGATTTCGCGGAACACTGTAGCTCCAGCATTGGATCAATTCATAGGGTCCTAGGAGTGATCTGAGCTTTAGGTATGAATACTGATACTCGGAAATCTTTATATACGAGCTCCCCATTCCCACGATACTTCTCTTTTAAAAAAGCACCAAGCTACCCAACAACCAAAGTTCCCAACGACAGCCTCAAGTACATTCAATCCAGACATATTAGTTCTTCCAGCCTAGTCCTCCTCAGAGTACCACTTCCTCAATTCTCAGATATCAATCGGACTTCGAAAATATTCGTACGCCCTCTTTTTATATCTAAATCTCAAGAACTCAAAGCTCGAGCCTAAACCCCCTCCCCGCAACTCCAAAGATGCAGCCCCAGGAAATTCAGTCTTACCACCATTACCAGGAGATTACTGGAACGATCGGAGAGGGTCGTGTTATTGCAATTTACTTCTATGATGTTATGGCGCCTCCTTGCTGGACCATCCAACAGTGAGTTAGCATCTAGATATCTAGAATCGTCAGCCTTTCTTCATTAATCACTAACAACGGATTAATATAGGGCATATAATGATGCTGCTGCAAACCCAGAATACGCAGGAAGGGTTGGCTTTTATTCTTTCAGAGTTGGAGGTCAGGACCGTGAGTTGGAACAAATTCAGGAAAACATGAGGATCTGCAATGTGCCTGCGTTTGCTTTCGTCCGCGAAAACGAATTTAACACCGTCATCTGCAGTGCTGAGGAAGTTGCAAATGTGATTGCGAACAACGTCTTCTAAGTACAGTGTAGCTTAAGATCGGAGTTTACTGGCTGGCTGGCTTGTTCTTTTTTTCGTGTTCGGAAGCTTTGGTTCTTTATTGCTTGCATGCTTGTTTGTGTTGTTATTTTTGCTTTTGTTTTGCCTGTTTCCTGCAGTTACGTTTGGGGGAGGGGGTTCCGGGCGGGTGGGGGAGCTAGGGATGGTGGTGTTATTTTTTTCTCTTTTCCCCGCACAATATTTTTTTGGAAGTATGTGTTCCTGCAACATCACATTTGTATTCGATCAGTTCGTTCTTGCTTGTTCTGTGGTTTTTCCCGCCACTATGGAGTTCGGATTCAGTGTGCTTGTATGCCTACTTTCAGGAACCGGGTTTCCCTTCCAAATACGATTTGAATTATTTCTGCTCTCACTGCTGCTTGCTCCGACTTGAGTGCGTGGTCCGCCAGCTACCCAGCCCAGGAGATGAAAATTTATGTATGCAACACTCTCACTCTCACAGTGAGTGAACCACATGTCCAATATCTCGGTACCCAATCAAAACCTGTATGACTTGAAATTTTTCCAGGCGAACCATGTAACAAGTCATAATTACCGCAAAACGATAGCAGTGAAGCATGATCTCTCACTCGCGCCAGACAGCAGGCCAATTGCTGATGCCCCCTCAGCCACCTGATACAGCTGGCGAACCAACTTGTTATATATGCATGTACATGCGTACATGCTTACTTACATGTACATCCAAAGCGCGCTACGTTACCCTCTAGAGTACATTCTATGTGCATGCATACATTACTATAGAAGTTACGCCGCTGGTAAGTACATGTATAAGTTATCCTAGCCCGAATCGCGTGAGACGAACGAGGGATCCTTCGAATTCCTCCCCACATACTTTCACTCACCTCCCACCTTTTATCTCAAGTGCTACGTTGTGCATGTACAACTCGATCCCTAATTCCCCCACTATTGGCGTGCTAGTCCTCTGCCATTTCTGCAGTACACCCCCCATGTGCACTGCGAAGCAGCCTTATCGACCCCTGCTGTCCATGGCACAGTGCAACGAGCGCCCTTAGATCTGAGATGGTACAATACATTATGCGGATATTGCGAAGGAAAGCTGCTGTCCACGTCGATCACTAGCTAGACAGATAAATCCCTAGTTTCAAGCACTCCTTTGTATCGCCAATGTCGACTAAATGGCCCTTGGACATCGGTAAAGCTTTCGCTAGTTGGATTTGGTGGGTCGGCTCCTTCGATCTTCAAACCCCACGTATTCTTAATGCACTCAGAAACTTCGATTTCTGTGTTTACCTTGCGCTCAATGGTCTTTTGGTGCAAATTATTCGGTTGACAACCTTAAAGTCTACTACAGATAATAACACTTATCGCTTTTAATTCAAAGTTTCCATTTTTTAAATTTTATCCCCTCGATACTCGCTATGTCTGTATATCTCTATTGCCTATTAAACTTGGTCAGACTTCTACCGCCCTTGGGGAAGATTTAAAGAGTGGATCTTGGAGTACTAATGGCCCAGTTAGCCAGTCGATAAGTTATTCCACTTGAGTACAAACATGTATAACGATAGGAGATCAGGTCGAAGCCGACTCTCACACTTTAGAGTTTACCGGGCGGATCATAGCTCCAGCAACCAAGAGATCGCCGTTTGATTTCTGATTTATCTACAGGTAGACAAATAATATTTTACGTCATATCAATTGAAGTATACTACTCCTACAATGCACGTTGGCCTATCCTCTTAGTCATATTTGGCCCCTCGAGCCAATTCTCATTTTTATATCAAGAGGGTCCATCCCGTCTTTTGAAAAGATCGGAGGAGGTTATGCGCTGGAACTTCCCAATTTGTCCGTGTTATGTACCTGTCGAAACAAATGCCTGGTTCAGCGAAAAGACAAAATGCACTAGTTTATGCCAGCTCATCGTCTAATCGGAGAAACCCCATATCGCCAACCCCGACATTTCTCCTCTTATCCCTGACTCTGATCTCTACCAGGGGCTAAACCCACGGACTACAGTCTCGGATGTGGACCAATAGCTATATACGGAGCTCCCCAACGCAGCGGAATTAACTGTCCAATCTTCCGGGTCTAGCACTTCATATGTGGCTGATTACGCGATAGCTTGCATAGACATATGATGGTTTCCACGCTAAGAGTTATATTGGAAACGACATACTCCTCAATGATTTAGTGGACTTCAATGATAGTGTTGCTAACAACCTCTTGAAGCTCTCGATGGTCTTTTGGCCTCTAGTACTGAAACTTTATGGCGAATTGTGCCTCTAGGGCGATAACTGCAGTAATACCTAAAATACCAGTGGGTCCTCTCGCCTTGCGGGGAAAACTTGTGACCTACCCTGACTGGGCATTGGCCTGACTGGAAAGAAAAACAAAAACAAATCATAATCATTGACTTGAGTATTAGATGACGTAAGGAAGATGTTGCTTAGCTGAGTTCACTTTTATCAATTGCCTCCATGGGGAAGGTTTCACTTCAACGTCTTCAACAGTCATGCTGAATCAACACGAAATAGGAATTTCGTGCATTTACAGCTGGAGACGGGACGGGCCGCCGAGGGCACCACCTTTTTTGGCCGTCAAAATCTGAACATGTTATATATGTTGATATGTTATATCAGTATTCGGGTTTTTTTCTTTTCTTTTGAAGGCAGCAAAAAGTGACAAGTTACAATGGGTCGCCTGGGAGCTCTGGAGCCTTACTAGATGTAGATGAAGCGCATCGCTCTCGGATATAAATATTCGCATTGGTTCCTGCAAAGAAAATCTCGGTAACGAACAGGAACCCATTTGGTGCTTATTTACGAACTATTAAGCTTTATGTCCTATGATCTGCGGTAATATATCCGGGAAACTTTCCTTTTTGCGCATGAAGATGCCTCCTGATCTATGCTTTTTGGAGTATGTGTGTTCACACTGTTGACATGGAATTTCAGTCTTCACTGCATTCACCGGCCCTCCGGAGTCTTGCGGCCAACGACATGACTGCCCGCTTTCATAGACGTGAAAAATTTGCCAGCGTTGACATCAGACGGCCCGAACAAACAACTATGGCCCGCTGCTGTGCTTAGTATAAGATTCCTCGGAAAAGTCCAAGCGATGGATTCTAAAGCTGCCACGATGATGTTTATTTGTACAGTATTAACACCGCGATAAATATGGCTCTGATAAGAGCACCGGCTTCGTGGGAATCATCTCTGGGCAATGGACAACAATGTCGTATTCAGGTGACCAGTACCCCAACTCTAGGGTATTTGGAGGCTCAAATCACCCACTTATGGATTCGATTACCCAGAGTAATCGTGGCAGAATACATAGGACGAAATGTCTCACAATCAACCAATAAGCTCCGCCTTGTCCACGTGCAGGATTGTTGGATGTACCACGGGTGAGCGAGAAACAATTACATACCAACAGGCCAAACAGCGATCATCGTGGCTTGTAATTGAGCCGATCATTACGATCGTGACAGAGCTGAGAATAGCACTATGCGATGCACGTCGGCCGTGCAAGACCTTTTGTTTAGGATATACTACCGTTATTCTCGTTGATATCTATCGGTTGGGGGGCTATCCAAAGGATATGTTGTTTCATGTTCTCCGATTCTCGATGGTGTAGTTCTTGAAATAGGCTATTCCGATGACTATTGGCCTCTGAATCGTCAGTACCTACTCTCCATACTTTGGTAAAAATTGGGTCTGCTTACTCCTTTTCAATAATTTAGTCTGATCATGATCTCCGCTAGCTGCTGCAGCATCTCGTGATTTTGGGTATGGGATTGTACGCTAGGTACATACATGTAATCAGATAGAGCCCATCAGGCTGTTTTCTCTTTTGATGATTGCGCGCTCACAATGCATTATGTAGTATCATGGCCCGATTGTTAACTACTTCATGTATACAAAAGTATGTAATGGCAAGGAGAATTGACACAGAGTCATGATTGTTTTCGCCAAAAGGATCGAGTTTCGAAAGGGCTCTTGAATTTCTTTTATTCACAGCCATTTGACAACCTTCAAAGATTGAGTGAATACATAACCTCCAACAACTATAGTGTCTAAAATAAGGTCAGTAAATTTTCCATGTATCAATTTACAACCGATCCTTCCCAGACGCAAAAATATAGAAAGCTACGAAAAAACCCTCTACTAACTGTCAGATCCTGGAGAAAACGATTGATAAACAACTTGTATAATACAGTACACGCCCAATGAATACCAAAACCTCCGCCAATAATTAAAGAAAGGTTAGAGGGCTTCTAAAAAAAATGTAAACCGGAATAGTGTTAGTCATATCATCCACGACTTGACTGCAACTCCAAAACGCTCAAATCCCATTGTTCCAAAAGATTTTTTCAAGAAAAAATCACCCTTTACACCATCTTCCTATCGTTGTCGCTCATTCGCCCCAGTTTCATCAACCTCTCGTCTCTCTCCTTCTTCTCCCCTTTGGACGCATTCATTTCGACATTGAGCTGAAATTCCCTCTCTCTTCTCTGTTTGAGAATTTCTTGGTCCTCGTTCGGTTCCCTCCATCCATAAAAAATCATGACGGCCATAATCAAAAATATTGGTAAATATCCCAACCCATATATCCAGCCTGGGTTAGTAAGATGGGATAGAGGTGAGATATCATATTCCCAAGCACAGGCAGCGTTATAACAAATCCGAATCGTTAGGAGAAGAATACACAGCGGGATTTTCATCGGAACCCGGCGCGGTGTGTAGTAGTGCAGGGAAACAAATACTGAAAGGATGATGATCACAAGAGCGAAGAATGCGAAGAAACAGGCGGCGCGGAAACGTGGATCGGTGGCTGTTTGGGCGCCGCCGGTGCCCCATGCTTTAGTGATGGGATTCCAGTTACGGAGGAGCGACATGAAGAAGGTCTAGCGGTGAGAAGGTCAGTGTTTCTGTTTGAATTGTAAGGATACACTGTAGATAGGAGGCAATGACTAACCAAGAATCCGAACAGATAAAAGACCAACGGGATATAGAATTCGATTTTAGACCTTTTGTCGTCCTGCGGGAAACAGAAAGCATCAGCGTCGACATGTTGCCGCTCCAGGAATGATCCCCTACAGCAATCGTTAGTATTGACTATGAGTGATAGTTTTGCAGTTGAGTACAACATACCAATGTCGAGTCATTTCCCAAACACTTGCCAACATTGCTGGTAACGTGACATAGAAGAAGATGCTCTGCATGATCAACGCAGTGCTTTGAAGATAATTCCTATCTACGTCTATTGCCATAAAGCCCGATATCATCCCACACACAGCAGTGCAAATCAACCAATACCATTGCCACCTTCTTGAAACCAATCTGAACCGTTTTTCTACCGGCAGGTGTGTGGCTCCGTGTTTCCTCAAAAGGGTGAGCCCAAGCATAATTCCGATCGCGAAAAGCACGCTTGACACTATGCCGAGGATTGCACGCGTTGCAATGGGGTTGATAGGGGCATCACAGTTCGTCCCGTTGAACACTGAGCCATTCAGGGCAAAATATGGATGGTAGTTATCGAAAACAAGATAGCAGCGAGAGATATTTGAAAGTGTACCGTTTGTGTAAATGGCTGTTAAGTATTTTGTTCTCGCGTCAGTGGCTGTTATCTTGGCACTTTACTTTACTCGCGAACAAGAAAGAACCAAAGAAAACCAAAGAACGGACAAACAGCTAAGGATGATATAACCCACTGTAATTAAACTCCTTCATAAGTGAAGAGTTGAAGTAGTTGCCATTATACTCGATATGCGATGCATTATAAGGGGTTAGAGAGACCGCCATCTTAAATCAAAGCTTGTGTAAAAGACCTTCAGTTCCACCTACTCGTTTGTACGCAGCTGGATGAGACCAGAGGAAACAAAACGTTGGAAAGGGTGGGGGAGGGGAAGAACAATGAGATAAAGCGAATAAAGGCGTTTTTTTTCGGAGCCCCGGATAACGACACAGCAGAGCTTGAAATATCGCTGCACCTATCTTGATAGGTGCCTGTTGTGGAGCCCGGAGTCAGAAATAATTGCCAAGGTGGAATGTCTAGGCGGACGGATGAGGGAAAACCCGTCATCTCCGTCAATCAGATTTGAGGAAAAAACCCTCGCTCGGTCGCGGCATTCTTCATCCGATCATTACTGATCAATAGGTTTCCTATCGATACATGTCACCAAGTATCGATTACCAACCTTGACAGGTTGTCTAGTTTTGCCAGTTAGCTAAGTTGAACCCGAATAGAGGATGTAACTAGGCGTAGATACTCTGCATGTTGATGTGCCTGGTACTCCTATTGCAACCGAGTAAACCCCGAAAAGTGAACGACTCCAGAAGCATACAGTGCTGTGCCTGTGTGAGCCAAAGACAATCACGTGATCGAATAGGATGACTGTGCGCAATCAGGGGTGACCTAATTGAGACCTTGGGATCTAAGATTTGTCAATCGTATTAATGAAACTTAACGTGATTTGAGATACCGACGTGACATATCGAGGCTTCTTGCAAGCACAAAGCTTTAGGACAGTAGAATGCAGGTACTGTCTTACTAGTATGCCAGAAGGCATGTTAGACAAGTATAATAGGACTGAATACATATTAGAGGTAAGCGGCCTAAATACTTTGTTAGGATACATATGTAGTCTCTTGTGTATTCCAGAGAAGTAATCGTAATCGTAAGGGTTTTCCGGCTGCGGGTAGAATGTAGGTGCTTTACAAGGACCCGCATGGTAAATAGCGAAGTCTGCCGAAAATTTCCAATAGACCCTTGTTTTGGAGGGTTAAACTATGATTACTAGTGCCAGGTCTAATATCTGTAGGTTAATATTTTTTATTTTTCCAGCAGAAGGCTAGAAGCTAGAGAAGCTTCGAAGACGTACGCCATGGACCGCGCGAGGAGTACATGTACTTACGTACTAGTTTTATCCGCGGAAGATCTGGCGGGCTGTACCAGATCGACGTCTCGACATTATTTCACTGCAATATATGGATAATTATATAAAGGAACAGCAGATGCCTGAGTATATAATACTAGTATAGGCCCCTGAATGTAGATGTTATTAAACAGACAAGCTTAAGCTCAATTAAGAGCGAACTTGGATTAAATTTGAGAATACGATACTTCTTGGCGCGTGTGCCACGCTCAGTTACCCGGCCCCGCATAACGATTTTTCACTCGTCATAACAGGCATCGATACATCCGATTGGACAAGAATCACTCACCCCCCATGAGCTCACATTCCGGATTGAGTTTTTCCTCCTAGATAGTCTCACAACTACGCTTTCTGGTACAGTAGAACCTTTAACTTCGGTGTTTGGTACTGGAACTATCTATATGACACTTTCTCGGAATTGTGTTTGCTGGAAGCGGAGATGATGTTATCAGGCTCAACTTTGCCTATCTGGCCTCGGACAAATAATTGAGAGCTCAACTCGGGGCTATGAAGTAGATGGCAACTGCGGCAAGTACTCTGTGAGCCGAATCTATTCATTCTCTGATTAGAATTCTGGTACTATTCGGGTAAGAGTCTTGTGAATATCTCAATCGCCCTAATCCAAAATTATTCAAAAATTTGGAAAGCCATCTTCGCACATAGCGTCATCTTACAGCCTGAACTAATACTAATATCTTTCCAACTTTAGATACGAGATACTTTATCTTTTTTTGCATTACTGCTTCATTTGAGAATCTGGAGTTCCTATCCAAGGAACAAATGGAACCCACAAGCGAAACATCTCGAGAAAAGGAAAGTGCAATACTATCTTCTCGCCCGTTATCGGCGGAACCTTAAAGGTTACTAGGGATGTGCAAAAAGACTTGCCTAAATCCACAGGCTCCCCAAGCTCTCCTGAATATTCCACTATTCTCAAGAACGCTCCTGGAGAATGGACAGTATGTACCGCAATCGGAGGAAATATCCCCAAGAAAATTCTAGAGAAGGATGTGACCCCCTTTACTGATTTGAACCGTCTCATATTGGAGATTTGTTCCTGCACAGCCCTCTGAGGGCAACCTTTCTCAATTGGCGTGAAAATCCTTTACATGACAGGTGGCTGACATTCCTAAAGCTCCCCAACCGTAAGTGAAGTTATCAGAGGCACACAAATGGAGGAATCAAGAGGTTCATTAATTCTAAAATTATGTAAGTAACCTCCAAACGATCAACATTATCTTTCCACTCAAGCTTATGATGCGAGGATATTCTGCGCTTTGACGATCCTAGAGAGCTACAAGCTAGAAACAAGATAAATCCTGGGGTGCTAACTAATGAGTGCCGATTATCATTAGCAAACCTTGATGTCAGATCCTTGAGGGCTTTCTACTCGCTAAGCTTGGTAATAGGTTTCTCTGAGAAGACCGACTTCGACCATAATAATCAATTCGAACCAAATGTCGAGATAACAGTCGGTGGTACAAAGAGCAATATTTCACTCATAGCTCCCATTTTGCGATTACCCTTACTTCACATATTTCATATCGCAAATAGGCGAATTATACGGCTCTACTCGACATTATCTCACACTCCAGATAGGTGGGATTCAACGTATTTTTCTTGCGTCAACCTTGGCTTCCGATTTTACTGCACACCATCTTGCGAGACTGGGAGACGGAATGTTGCAGATAGCATGGTTTGAGGTTGAAAAGCATCTGTTTCGTTGGCTACTTCTCTTATGGCTTGAGCTGATGTGTCTATTATGCTAGGTTTGTAGTTCTGCACATTAGTTTTTCTGCGTGCTATGCCAATAATCAAGGCCCTAAAACCTGGTTTTAAATCTCAAAGGACATATTGCCCTACTTTGACATCAGGATGACAGGTCATGCCACACGATATCACTCGTTTTTTATACATTTCTTCGCCATTCCACACAGTCAAACCTCTGTGACCCAAGGGAAATTTCTCATAGCCGTTAGAAGCTATCACCGAGATAAAATGGAGTTGCAATAAATTGGGCCTTCTTACGGACATCCTCAAGGGTTTTCGTACCGCCTTCTCAGTTGGCGAACAATTCGGAGCTGAGGTTTAATTCAAAACCTGGTGGATCGCTGAAAATCAACTCTTCTTCCTATTGATGGAAAAATCCAGGCTTGACATGCGTACATGACGTTTTATATCTGTCTGTTTCAAGCGTACAGGGGCGAATAACTGGCATCCGAGATTGTTTACTTCTGGCATCATTTGGATACTCCTTTTAAAAAAGAAATTCCCTCCCAAATTTTCGCGCCGTGCATGCATCTCCGAGGGGGGAGGGCTCTCTATGGATGCCTTCGGTACATCGTATCATATCTACTAGAGATTCAGCGAGCGGAACGCGGAAACGGCCGGTTGGACCGTGACCGTGTGAGCAGTCACCTTGGTTCACTTGCGCGACCTTGTACTATTAGGATCGATCGATCATGTACGCCCTAAAGTATTGTCAACAAGTACGTGATGGGCAGCGTCCATAACCTACATACAATAGGTTATTGTCAAAGTCTAAATCAACATGAAGACTTATAGGGCTCAATTATAGCCAGAAGGAGTTTAACTTCAGCGCTATCGCTCAAAATTTTACCCTCCCCAAAAAACTAAAAAAAGAAAACTACTTGAATTCAACTTCCACGAAGTTCAAGTGTCTGATAGCGGGGCTGTTATCCGGGTGCAAGTTTGTGTAGAGTGTATACTACATACATGATGTACGCACATGTGTGTACGCACGCAACTTACAAAACATACAAGCGATCATCACACAATCTCCCGATTTAGCAGCGCCTCGTGGCACAAGAAACAGAAATACTTGTTGTTTCCAAGACGCGAGGAGAAAAGGTCTCTGAAAAAAAAAATGGATTCACCTATCTTTAATCGCGTTCAATCTTTTGTCGTGCTAACCCTTTTGAATCCGCCTGCCATATTTTAGATACGAAACATTGCTGCGAGAAGATGGCGTGAAGTTGAGGGCTTGGTTTACCGATCATCCAAGAGGACGATTAGTTGTTACTAGCTGTCCTGTTAGGTGTCGTGAAAACGAGGAATAAGACTGCAACCCTTACCGGGTCTTTCACTTCCAGCCCGTGGCGTAGCTTTATCTCTGAAATAAATGAGATTAGAAGGCTGAATACTCTGTATTGTCATATACATACTCGGTATTATAGTGCTGATAAGGCCTTTTCGAATTCCTTTAATATACACAGATACGTTGCGCTGAGAATATAAGGTTGACCATGGACGAATCATTCTTAAAAGACTAGTGTGTCGTGCACTAAAACAAGTCTAACAATTCTCCTTCCCTCACTTCTTTGTCTAGGGATCCCCCTAAAAAGTCATTGAAATACAACGAGTGAGAGGGCATGAATGTGCATAGACACAGCGCCCGCAGACCAATTGTGTTAACAAAATGAGTTTCAGCTGCTATACAGTCAAGCATTTGAGTGATAGGGGGGACAATGGACCCCTGTAAGCATGAAATGGGCCCACAGTTTCCAGCAGGAAACCACGAGATATTATATCTTTCATGCTCTATTTACAGATTCTAGCACTAAACAAACTCACTGACGTGGCGTTCCAAAGAACGAACACTTTGTATTGATCATCTACACATGCATTCATTAAGTCCTCGGTTTTTGGTAGTGATTTAGTTGCAACGACATCCAACGACTTCATGATCGAACGCGAGTACAGTGCAGCTAATGCATTGCTCTCTAGTGGAAGTCTAGAACTTTTGTTTGATCTTATTGGATGCCTTAATATTGAAGGACGATCATATGAAAATCTTAAGACCCGCCTTGGGCAGGCCAGTAGGATCTGTGAAGGTACGGCTCATCTAGAATGAATAAAACTTGGAAGGTTTATGTAATAGTGTGGTCCATGAGCCGGCCCGGCTCGAACTTTAGGCTCGAACTTTCGGCTCGAGCCCAGTGAGCCTCACCCTCCAGCGAGCCTGAGCCGGCTTGAGCCATTTTCTCTAAGGCTCGAGCTTTGGCTTGAGCCTTACCTCAAGCTCAGTTTGCTCACTCTGCACTAGGCTCTAGAAGCCATAAAGGAAGCAAAAAAGGGATTTCTACCCACTAGAGTGTTCACGGTATTAACCCATGAAATGAAGCTTATATCTGCCATTTTACTATACTTGCTATACGGATAACCTGTTTTTTATATCATTGATCACAGGCTCGAGCCAGTTTACGAGCCTGTCACCAAAGCTCGAGCCTTGCGAGTCTCTGCCTCCCGCGAGCCGAGCCAGCTCGAGCTTATATGCCGGCTCGACTAGAGCCGGCTCATGGACCACACTATTTATGTACTGGCATACTGTCGAGATGCACACCCACTGACTTAGCTCGAATTCTGGCTGGGTGTATTATCTGTGTGTCAACATCAGAAGCCTTCGTGAAAGCCGTCTCAAGATAACCCTTGTTTTCTATCCCATTCAACTATTGCCTCTCGAGATCTTATCTTTCTTGGGTTAGCCCTAAAGGCGTCTATGCTGAGTGATTTGACTCTCACGATTACATGTGTTTGTTTACCTCCTACCACCTGATATGTACGGCCATTTCCTATCTTCACTCATCTCTCTTCCTGATTAATTATACTGACCCCCCAGTTTGTCAACTGGCTAGTACTTTCTCATTACCGGTCGTCCATCCAAATCCAAAAGTAGAATCTATCCTCTATATCTACAGGACCCCATCTAGAAAACTGTTTTAAAAGTCAGATACAGAAAATATCTCGCCTCATCTTCATCCAAACAAATTGAAGAGGCGGTGAGAGCGGGAAATCATCCAAAGCGAACCGATTAGACCATCCGGATTCTCTCTCATCTAAAACCCCACATTTGAGAAATCTCTTTACATCGACGGCCTCTGGAGCCCCAAGTTTCGATACTTGGATCATCGATAATATCTTATACCGAATAACCTCGCGCGTTAGCATTATATAACATCACTGTGGTCTGTTTTGCCTTCTTTTCTGTAAGTTGAGACTTCATCCCCAGCAAATTAATTCTTTGTGCATGTGGCATACATGTAGGGGACCTAACCTTTTAAAGTACCATGTCAACTAGAATTCGTTACAAAAACTCAACTATCAAGGGAGTGAAGAATGTCTTCTTACCGGCTACACCAAAGATGGGATGAACATGTTGAAGTCATACGTAGTATGACGCACTGAAATCCAGTAGCAAATGCACATGCGGTTATCTCCTTATCTCCTGCAGGTACAGGTGCTCCAGATAAGCCACACTTTACTGAAACAACAACCTTTGTAAAAGGACTTCATCCCCTGAACACTCGGTCTATCATTCTATCATGCGACTCGCAGCCGTGTAGCTGGACTCTCAAAAGAGGGGACCTTTACTTTAATGAATAATTACCCGGAGAACACGGCTATCCGCATCGATGAATTTGGGGCACTGACTGCATGTGGTCCTTACAATATTTGATTAGCTTCCTTAATATTTTATATGTCGCCTATAGATGTACATACATATATGTATCTTACTTTCGTTCCATGGATCAAAGTCGGCCACTGGTGTGATACCAGTTGCTGAGCCGACAGGACATCACGACACCCTCCGCCCCGCCATTCTGGGAGTACACAGATCGATTTGAGTACAACCAGAAGGCGGTCCAGGTGGTACTTCGCCTGTTAAAAAATCATAAATAAGACGTGAGGAGGCTTGAGGGCCTCTCATCTGTAAAATACGTTCTACTAGCACATCAGTAGCCGACATATGAATTCTGTTGTAGATGTAGTCAGAATGGCGAAAGTATGATATCCAGTATTTGTGTAACTGCTTCATCGCATGCTGTTGACTTTTTATCACTTTCACTTGTTGATATTAGATACCTACTTGCCATGCATGAGAACTGTTTAGTTCCTGAACCAGTCACTGATACTGTGAAGCGTGCATCATCACTCATATGTGGGGCGGTAAATGTGTCAAAAGTAATTTTACCAACGGTAGTAAATTATTTACCACCGGTGGTATAAGCACTGGATTTCAGTCATTGTGTCTGCACGCTATCCTACATTAGTATATTTCCCACCGGTATAAACACTGGGTTTCGGTCTTTATGCTGCGCTATACTACATAAATAAATGTTCAATCATTAATGCCAAAACTTATGAAAACTTCCCACCGGTGGTAAAATAATTTACTACCGTTGGTAAAATTACTTTTGACACATTTACCGCTCCATACTCATAAGAGTAACATCCCAGCTTCAATACTCTAAGGGCCCGTTTGGCTACCCTGTCGAAATGGAGTTTGGCGGTCAAGTTTGTGTAACTCAGTCCGATTTTTTCCCGTAACTCCATTTTGCCAAAAAGGTTTGTGTTCGTCCGTCCTTTTTTTTTTGCAGCTCTGTTAGGGCTCTGAAATCAAAACCCACCAAAATATTCACTTAACAACCAATGCCACAACCGGCGCTTGGCGGACCAAAAATGACCCAAACTCCGTTTTAAACAACCTGCATTTAAGCTCACCTAACGCAGCCGTTATTAAACGGGGTTTCAATTCCCCCTCGGCATCCAAACGGGCCCTAAGCTTTTATATACCAGTATACAGCATACATCATACTCCTCAGCCAATCAACCAGCATGCTAGGCGGCGCGGGGTAAAACGAGTTAGACTTGATTACTTCATTAATTGTATGTAACCCGGAGGTTATGACAAAATGAGTTAGATGGTTTTGCCAGCGAATAAATGGAAACATAACGAGTGGCATTTCATGTAAAAGAAATATCTTTTCTCGGGGAGTCGTCCGAGAAATTGCAGCCACTAACTTACATATCGAGTTTCTTTTACCGTGAAGTTCCTAGATATTGTGGAAAATAAATACACTCACCGATGGGTTGACCGTCGCGAGGCCGCAACGAAGGAGTGCTGCAAGCAGTAGTTATGTATACTTGTAGCCGCCTGGATTTCATGCCGCGGTCCTTAGACCAAGAAGTGTTTCACTCTTGCCAGGGATGGTGATAGTAAATTAGATGTAGTTCTGTAAGTTCACATTGAGTTTATGATACTTATACTTCCATGGATCCAATGTTAATGTGGATGGCTACCAAAATAGTCTGGGGATAGAAAACTCTCACTAATCGTCGATACTGCACCAACATTTCCTTTCTCTAGTGCACCAAGCTCTCGAGTTCCAACCAGTATCTCTTGCTCCAATCATATGATCTCACTCGCTCTCCAATCTAGCGATCAACATTTGCATGGTTTAAAACAGCAAGTAATGTGCTACCTGCCCATATAGACCATGGACGGGAATGGTCAAGAGAATACGTATAAAAAAGTCCAATGTCTTACCTCGCTATCTCCAGGATCCTGAGTGGCGCTATATGTGCGCATAGTTAGCGGAGATCATGCCAAACCCCAGAAAAGGAAAATCAGAATAAGTACCTGCTCGTCAAAACTTCATCATATCAAAACTAAAGCAAAAAACATCTTCCGTCCAGTCCAGTCTCCCAGAGAGAAATGCAGGAAGTAAATAGAAGAAAATATCTTACCAGGGGTTGTACTACAGTCCCAGATCGGATAGAGATTAGCGATTCCAAGAGCCAACTACGTATATAGGGGAGGTGTTGATGGCTATTAACCTCAAGGGAAAGGAGATGGTGGGGAAGCTGTGGTTGACAGGGGACGGGAGAGGGGTGATGAGGGGGAAGAGGGGATGCAAACCATAAAATCAATATTATTGATGGCGTAAAAAAAAAAAAAAAAAAACGTACCAAGATTCCGGATACAGTATATCGATAGCCCCTTGACTATCTGGGCCGGACGGCGGTTGGGATCAAGAGTGTACTAGCCACTCGGAGACGAGAACAAGTGAACCAAATCCACAGATGGAACTTTGTATCCATTTGGTAAAAATGAAAGAGAAAAGGAAGGAAGGAAGGAAACAGCAAAAGGCTTACGTGATGAGTGTCATCCATCCAGAGTGTCCCTACCATGTTGGCATTCTCATCACTACTTCCACCCTGAGTTGAATCGGTTCCTTTGGATCTCCGTCTTCTATATCGTCTATATCTTACATCTATCCCCCTCCGTTCTTCACTTCTTTTCCGCTTTCTGTTTCTTTCCTGTCCCCTGTTCCTTCGGGTTCCTCCTTGTTTTTTGGCGTACTTATTGATCTAATCAATCCCTGTTTTTTGGCACCTTCCTCGGTACCTTCATGATAGAGTGATAATTCATGCACTAAATACACCCGCTGGTTACCAGAACTTAATTTACTACAAGCCGCTATAATAAACTCCACTTGTTCTAGAAGCCCGCAAACTCCTTGAATAGAGACTTGCACCCAAAAATGGAGCAAAATTATAACCTTGTCATATATCTATCGTCTCACATATATCTTATGGGAGCTCGAAACGGTCAGCCGCGTACAGTAGGTGGTGGTGGGGGGACGTCCACTTACTTCTTCTTATTGGGTCTCGACTCTGCATACCACTGGAGGGCTCTCAATAGGCTGCCGAATCAGTTTTCCCAAGGCCCTTGGCGGATCACTAGCACTGTATTGTATTGCTGCGACGAACAGAGGGGGAGAATTAAGAGTCAGTCAACGGATGAACTCCTATATGTCGTTACCCGGCCCCAGCCTACATTCGCAATCTACTTTCAGAATATCTTCTTACGGATCTACTACTAGGGGTTCGATACCGTAAAAACGGACATCGCATTTGCCGAGTGATAGTTTGTGATTAAAGCCAAGTCGGCCCTTGCTATTATGGGAGATGGACAGCTATCGCCACTTAACCACAGAAAAGAGGGCACACTAATACGTACATATGACCTGACCAAAGATAAGGAACCGCAACAGAATCTATTTTTTTATCTTGCATCGCACAATATAGAATGCACGATCTGGTATACAGCAACAAGACAAGTTAAAAAAAACAGCAAGAAAGCAAACCCATGTAAGTAGCCCCACCTTTCACGGAGAAGGTACCTAAATAATTCACAACTCATCCCTCACCCTCTCCTCCATAGACTCCCCCTTAGCTTCCTCCGCCCTATCACCACATACAGCGGGCGTTCCGACCTCAAACCTATACACACACTTCTCCTCTTCCCTGACACTCCTGAGCTCATTCACTGCGCTACAATAGAGCTCGACATTGACGCTCCTCTTTGGCCCATTCCAGCACTGTTGCCCGTTATCATACTTCAATACTACACCACTGAGGCCCTCTTCATGCGCCTCCTCCCACCCAGCATCAAACAACCCATGCTGGCCGCCAACATCCTCCGGCGTTGTGTACTCGATACGCGCAAAGCTACCCAGCGACGTGCTCGACGAATCCTTGAGCGATTTCTGGTGAGCTTTTCCATGGAAGCAGAACTCATACTTGTATTCGCCGACGTCAGCGTCAATGCACTCGCCCTTGAGCGGGCGGAAGACGTCGTTGTGGCCATAGGCCGTATTGAGATCGTCGTTCAAGGCGGTGAGGCGCGCACGGTTATCGCGTTCTTCGGACTCGGCGGTTTTGAGCGCCGCACGGGTGGCGGTGACAGCTTTAGACTCTATGCCGGGGGTGTCTGGGGCTGGGGCAAGGATACCATTCTCGACGAGAATTTGGCGGAAGTCGTGGAGCTTGTCGTGGACCCAGTCTTTAATGCTCTCCGGGAGGTAGGCTTCGATATTGTAGACTATCCAGAGCTCTAATCAGGAACTGTTCACATGCTCAAGTCGGAAGATTGTTATGCTTACGATCACTCTGCGGCTCGCCGACCTCGAGGAACTCGTCCCAGTCGACTGGATCTTCACCCAGAAGGTCGTCTAAGTCCCTCTCCTCGGAATCATTGAGGTTTGTGGAAGTCTCTTCTTGTGCAAGGTACTCCTCCCACGCCCTGACGGCGGTCTTGACACCCTCATCGTTGAAGTTGGGATTATACCCCTCCTTCAGCGCGGCCAGGATCCCTTCGGCTTTCTTCAACCTCTCCAATGCCGCATCTCTCTCTTCTCTCACCCTCTCCAGCCCGGCCCTCAACTCCTCACTTCTCTCTTTGGCCGTCCCAACTAGAACACCCACCTTTCCACCCTCCCCCTCTTTGGGTGCCCTAACCACTCGTCGCCTCTCTCTCTCTTCAGCATCCCTCAGCTCCCTCTCAAGTCCCTTTACCTTCCCCACAATTCCCTCAATCTTCACCTCTGTTACCTTCACCTCATCCTCGGCCTCTTTCCTCATGATCTGTGCCTTCTTCACCAGTTCTGCCCACCCTTTAACTCCATCGCCTCTCAGCCTCTCCCGCTCGGCCTGGAGCTTCCTTGCGGCGATCCCGATCTCCGCACACCGGTTCTTGCACGAAACCCCGCCGACGTGCGCGTACTCATCGCTGCCATCACAGCAGATCTCATAATCGCAGACACCATCATTGACGCGCGACAGAGGGAGGAATGCCGGGGTATGCTGTTCGTTACGGCAGTGGAAGCCTCGGATGGCGAGCGCGCTATGGGGAAGGTGTGCGCAGGCGCTGGTGCCCGGCTCATCGCTGCCATCGGGGCAGTCGCAGAAGTCGTCGTTGACTTGGGAGCTGGGAATAGTTATGGATGGGTGTGTGAGGCAGGTGAAGGTGCTACCTGCGTAGAGGCGCGCATCTGTGTCATGGAGTTGGTTTTTAGCATGTTATGAAATTACCAACTGTGGGTATATAGTTAGTTACCTTCGGGAGAAACCCCACGAGGCGCTGTGGCAATAGCAACGGACGCGCTAGAGGTTAGGAGCAGGAGGAGGTTGTTTTGACGCATTTTGAGCTTTGGTTTCAATTGCGGATTGCGGGGGACCTGCTCAATGGATCGTGATGGTAGTGGTCGTGGTTGATTTTAGGTATGTTATATTGGTTTTGAGGTTTTGGGCTTATATAGAATGCCGAGCCCTCCTTGAGGCCACCTCGAAGCTTCAAGCTGGGCCCTGGTTGAGCCGCTAGCAATGGATGCGCCCTAACCCTATTTTTATTAATAACACCATGCAGGGATTACCGGTTCTGTGTCTCACATACAGCTATTCAAAGAAGGAAAGCACTGTAGGTACCAGTCAACTCCCCTATTCAGTCTATCCAGCACTATAGTAGCATGCCAGTGTTATTCATCACGGGCTCAGATGTAACAAGGCATCAGAGCACATGTATTTGCTAAACATTTTTTGCAAGCCTGGATCACCCCGGTAGTAACTTCATTCCTACTTGGTAGTAAGCAACTTCAGTACAAGGCACCGAAGGTGCATAGCCGTAATACGAATACAAAATCCACACCCTGATCACCCGGGAGACTAGAGTACCTGGCACTCATGCAAATTCTAGCCTCGCTACGAAACGCCATCTGATCATTACCCTATAAAACCTGGCTTTTTTTCTCCTTTTTATTTTTTTCTTTATTTTCATGGATAATTTTGACTCCAGTCCATGGTCCATAGCTTATTTATCTTCTTTACTTTTCTTGCCTCCCCTTCTCCTCCTCATCCGTAGCTCCCGTTTTAGCTCATTGAGCAATGCTAAAAGCTCCTGGTACTCCTTCTCTGTCCTGGTCAAAGGATCACTCTCTCTGTGCCTAGCTATTGACATTCCTCTCCAAGCACTAAAGCCAGAAACAGAGGTATCAATCGAGTCTATTCTCATGCCGGGGTGTGGTGGCGACTTGTCAATCAGTCTGGGGTGCGGGGAGTGTATCCGAGTTTCTGGGGTAGTAGATTCAACGTAGGGCATAAATTCTCTTGGTGGGGGAGGAGGTGGGACCAGACCATACCCGGGAGGAATGCTGCTGGCCGGTGGCCAAGATTGTTCCGAGCCAGTAGCGAAGGAAGAATCGGTGGAGTCTGTCTGCACCCCGCTCAACCCTACAGCTCCTGCCCCGCTTTCCTCATCCGAGCTAGACCAGGGGAAATGTATCTTTGTGAGGGGGATAGACTTGAATGCAGTTTTCATTTTCCTGAGGTGGTTGCGTGCTCTGGAGGCGCCAACTGTACTGTCCGAATTAGAATCGGTCCCTGGCGGTTTCCTTCTGCGCTCAAACAGTATTCTATCAAAAGAAGTTGGAGAGTCGAGGGACACAGAAGTAGAGATATCAGACGCAGTCGGTATGCTCGACTCGTATGTTTCATTTCCTGATCCAGATGAAACATATGGGGAGACTGATTTTGGTGATATCTGTGGGGTGAGCCTTAGTCCTGGAGATGATCCGTCGTTCTGGGGGAGGGCAAAATCATTTGGTTTAATCTCATTATATACTGGCAGATGCCACTGGATTTCAGGCTCAGTTCGTGGGAGCCATTTCCAACCTACTGGGACATCTTGGTCTTTTGAAACGTCCAAACTAGCTTCTTGTTCTCTGGCCCCATCTGTTGAAGGACCTTCACCTCCAGGAAGATAGTCACCAAAGTCTGGAGATGAGATCCCCGTAGAACCTTCACTTCCTAGGTCAGATTTGCTAGATTTTGAGGATGAGGTGCCGTTAGAATTCCCCCGAGCTATACTACTGTGTGAGATATACGTATTTCTGTCATCAAAGTAATCCATGTTCTCGGAACATAGGCTTAACCCTGCACCGCCTAAAGACCCATCACAATCTAGCTCATGCTGGGAATCGGTGTCTAGATGTCTCAATGATAAAGTCTCATCATCAATTTTAGTATAGAACCGGGTTCTCCTCACGGACTTTTCCCTAATTTTCTCCCGCTCCATGGCGGCCCTTTTCCTCCTCCGTTCACTGATCTTCTCAGCCATAGCCATCTCCCGCCAGGGCTTCCAACCCCAGATACTAACCTCACTCGAATTGCGAGCAAGACATCCATGTGCCACACTGTTGTTGTAGAGGCTCTGGGTTCTATGACCTATGATCCTAATAGTAGCTATTGATATTTGCCCACGTCGAATAAGATCCTGAGCCATGTCCAAGGAATTCGAAGCGAGTGCTTCAGCATGACGCTGCGATAGAAAAGAAAACATCTGCACGGCGATCACAAAACGTAAGCAAAACTCATATCACATCAAGGACAAGAACACAATTGACTATATTACCTCTCTATACCGCAGCAACTGGGATGCTGTCTCCCCCTCCGCGAAAAATCCTGTCGAGTTCCACAAGGAGTTCTTGTTGCACATTTTCATACTGCCACCCCAGTCGGGTTCCACCGGGATCGACGTGTTGACGGCTTGTGAATAACGGTTCTGGGTGTCAGCGGAGGAGGTGCGAAGGGCGGCAATACGGGTATGGATACTCCCAAGGAGCGGTCCCTCATTCATGGGGATGAAGTCGAGGTCAGGGAGCTTTCCGGCAGGGGGGTATGAGTCCTTCGTGTCAAAATCCTGAATATCGGGAGAATGGGTCTCTGGGAAACAAAGCGTCGTAGATGGCCGAGGAGAGATGGAGACAACATTGTTTCTAGGTTGTTCACGATGATCCCCAAGAACGCCAAAATATTCTTCTGCTACTTCTGGAAAATAATGGGGATTTTGTGTCGGGGGTGAATCGAGCCTTGGATCCTTGGACCTCGAACCGTTCATCTCTTTGACTGATAGAAAGCTGGACATTTTTCGAAGAAGACGAGGATGGACGTTGCTAGGGATGGTGTCATGTATTCATTTAAGCCGGTTGATATATAAAATGACGAAAAGATGACATGTATGCAACGAATTCTATAAGAAGATGCCGATGAGTGGCCACGAGTGATAATGAATTAAAAGAAAAAGAAAAAAAAAGGGGGGGAAACAGTGGCCATGAGTGACAACGATCGCGAGTGACACATCATGATGAAACCAATACCAACTCAGGAAGGCGCCACATTACAACATTTAAATCTAGCCACGGGTAAGAAAGAGTCCAGAATTCTAAAACTCTGGATTTTACCATGCCATCAACAACCTCATCGCGTGGCCTACTGAGTTTATATTATACCTTAGCTGATAATTAAGACAGATAAGATTCCTTTTGTAAGAGTTGACGTCAATTATGTCTTGATATGCTCATTGTGACACTCGTGGCCCCAAATATTGGGTTTCAATCTGGAAAACCATCAGGGATCAGTCAGCTCCAAACTAGGATACGGGTGAGATACAAATAATCAGTCATCCGTACGAATTCCCTACTCCACGATTCCCAACGTCAAACAGAACCGAGGGGCTTTGCAATAAGTATGTCTCCAAACCCCGGTCTAGAAATTGAAAATCGATTTTGCCGAAGTATATAATAATTAAGAGTAAATAATTATAATGCCTGTGATGCGACATTTTGAGTCCAGTTAAAATCCCTTGGTGGGATACGGGCCTTCAATTTTTCAACATCATCCAGGTGAAATTAAATGATTATTCAACTAGAAGGCTATCTTAGTTCACAAAGAGCTTGAATTATTTGAAGCTTGCCACAGTGGTAGAGGTCCGCATTTTACGAGAAGCCTGAAGCCAGGTGTTATGAATAAATTATAAAGCCTGGAGGAGCACCTACACATGTACAGTCGACCCAGCCGTAGCTAGGGGTGAATGAAGACTCTTTATGTTCGTGCTTCTCCGGCCAAACGCTGTGGTGTTGGAGATCGAAGGGGGTAAATCTACATTTTACCCCATATATAAACGCTTAAAAGCTAACTTCCATACTAGTATTTACCTGTGATGAGTAATTCTCCGGATCTAGCTGAGAGCACGGATATACTTAATGACGTGTCAAACCGCCACTTTGAAAACGCGGAAGCTTAAGGGAATCGTGGAGTTTTGAGATAGTAGTTACTACATGTATATCGACAGAAATTACTTTAGTCTTTTTTGTTACGACCACCCCTTCATTGGTCTGCCCCCGAGAACCCGAGTCCCTCGGTAGTCGACCCGCAGTCGAGTGATAGTGCATGATGCAACGTGTTCATTCCACCGTGGGGGCGAATTCGAATACAAAGGGGAATTTCGGAACGACAGTGAGAAAGAGAAGGAGCTCAATATAATTACTTGCTTACAAGGTGAGTCGTATGTCCACAATACATACCCGAAGCTCGCCGTGATAAGTAACACGGCCCGTGTGAAAATCATATTATGCGGGTCGATCCTTCGGCTTACAATGCCAGGAACACGGCTGAGATGTCACAGCTAAACGACCGCATTTGAGCATGTACTCCCCCTCCCCCCTGTTGACGTCAATACATAGCCATGGTTTTAACCGGCCTTAGCTAACAGAAGCCATTTCAATCTTTTGCACGACGTCCGGAAATGCCTTCACACAGAGGGAGGTAACCCCAAAACCTGTTTACGGGTGATCGACACGCTGATCGACAAGGCCCCCCCCACTTCAACAACCACTTCTATCTGAAAAGTCGAGGCTCAGTCCTCGGGGAAAGCCCGTTTAACATACATCTGTTCTCTTCGCTCTTGAAGCTCTTGCGTCACGGCTAGGAACAGCTGTCAGAATATTACGTGCAGGTGCAATCACATAATTCTTAGCTGCACTTTAGTTATAAGCGAGTGATGGCCAGTGATCCTTTCCCGATGAGTATGGTTTCCGTGGTCCGAGTTGATAGCCACTGATGCAGAGAAGAATATTCAAGTGATAAGCCTTCGTCAGCCTTGGAATTAATAACTTAGAGTAGGTCAATCCCAGAAACAACATCCGCTGATGTTATCTAGACTATCATGGTATCTTTCACCGAAGAAGTCGAGCTTTTCTAGAACATGCACCTGGTCTCTATCGATAAGGATATTCCGAGTGATGGGATGTGAATACTCACGAGCTTCGCGCAGAGAATTGCATGCAATACTCTAATAAGGTGACAGGTCCTGTATTGCGGGCCGGGAATACTAAAACAAGGTACATAACTCGAACTCCCACATGAATCACAAGCGGTGGAGGCACCGGGGAATATGTAGAGTAGGCGTAACCATGTATGTATATGGACCGTTCTGGCCTTGGAATTTGTTTTTCCTTCTCCCCTCAAACTTTCTTTCCTTTTTTCGGAATACAGCCATCAATATAAGCCCTAGCCCTGACACACGAACTCGCGTGCTAGACCCAATGTGAACCCCTGTTCATAATTCCCCCACACCTATATACCTACACCCCACCAACTGGCTGCCCCTGCACGCCCGCCGCATCTTTCTACCTCCTCTTCTTCGTGTTCAAAACCAAGCGGACTCCATGCGACCATACAGATTTTATGTGATGATTCGCAAGGCGCGCTTCAATCGGCTTTCCCTGCGAACATTAAAAATCCTCGCATAAAGAGTCGTCCACACCCGCATAGGTGTGTGACCCCGCTCAAAATTACAGCCAGGTCCATCCAGTCAATTTCAGAGTCGTAGTTGTCCTCCATAAGTCACGGTACATATGTAAAGTAGGTACTCTATCCCCCTCTCTCTTTCTCCTCCTCAGATTAGGTACAGTAGTTGGCCAGCAACTTCGTACATGCTCCGCGCATGCGAATTCCAAACCCAGCCACACACAATCGATACCGAAAATCGTTGATTTGCCAAATGCAGGAACCTCCGCCTATGCATCTCTGCTGGCTGTGGTTGTTGCTGGCCATGTACGGCCTACTCGATGTGTGGACAGGGGTTTGTGTCGGGCCGATGGACGAACGAACTAGAGATAGGTCCTCTCTACAAATCATGAATGCAGCCTTCATTCCAAAATTGTTTCCCTGCGCACAACAGACTGCAAGCAAGATGAATTGCGACACAGGCATACATGCCCGTTCCTAGAGTACAGAATTCCGCTTTTCTACTTTATGTATTCAAGAGGAGAGGTGGTTTCTATTTCTTTTTGAAGTTTTTGAGGCTCAGGGGTTTTTGCATCCGGATCTGTAGCACAGCAGATGCCGATTATGTATCAATCATCTGCTCTACACAGGCGCCTATTTGTGCCTATCCAGGCCAACGTGTATCAGGTCTATCGATACTGTGGGTATGTACCTACATGTACCTAAGGCTTCTCGATCTGGCTGTGAGGCATAGACGTTTAGTGAGTTAACCCGCGATATGTAACAATATCCTTCTCTTAGCTAGAAACGAAACATTCTAACCTCCGCGAATAAGAACTTAGTTTCCGGGTATTATCATGATTAACTTTTGATTCATAAACAAAGTCCAAGTTTCAAACTGTCCTCTTAGACGGACAGCAATCACAACCAGATCTAGCCTGGAGAGCAGAAGCAGAATTCGCGCAACCTTGGTTGAGGGCCGAATCAAAAAAAGAAAAATAAAAGGTGTCCATCCAATACTTTATATGAGTAGGTATGATTCATGCAGCGAACGCCGCGCACGATGGGGTATGAAACGTATCTTGTATCTTGTATCTTGTACCAGAGGCTCGGGTTTCAATGTGAGGCGGCCATGGTTCACATGGAGGGAGAAGCACATACTCTAGCATTTTATGCGTGACTACGGCTCTGGGGTACCTATGTATGCTATGCTATGCTATGCTATGCTATGCTATGCTATGCAGAGGTTCAGGGATGTTCGGTTGTGGTAGTAGGTGGGAGTACCTACACGCAGTTTTGTTAGAAAATGACTGTTGTCCGGTAAGTATGCCATACTTACCACAGTACCTACTGTAGTCAGGTCATAAGTTTCGCAACTGAAAAAATGTCATAGATTGTGGAACACCAAACCGTGACACGGTATCTGGCTTTGAAATTTATAGTGGCTCATTTAGATACATGTATCTTGAGGGTCTTTTCGAAACAACTACCATGGGTTGATGCAACGAGTTGTGTTTTCCGCGACACAATCAAAGTGAGGTCCGTTTCTTAATCCTTTCCTCAAGTCACTTCCGTTTCTAGCGCAAACAGCCGAAAAACGGTGCTTCCCGTGACACTCACACATACCCACACACCCACACGACGTTTGAATTTCATTCGTTTTTCTCCCCAGGCTACATACCCTTTTTTTTTCTTTTGGCTTCCTGATCTTCAGAGTGCTTTTTCTTTACCGAGGCTGCCTACCTGCCTGCAGCAGGGCAAGGTAGCCTTTTTTTTTCTGCGCCACGGTTCAAACGCAACTAGCTGCAGCTGGTTTATGGGTCGATGGGATGGGTGTTGTCGACGTCGACAAACTAGCACTTGTAAACATTTGACTTTAGCTTACTTGCTGTACTAATCTTTGGCCCTTTGCTGGACCGGTGGTGTTTAAGAGCGGGCGGACTAGTAGTTATACTGGACCGATTTCAACGCTGTTGAAGCGTAATTATGATGCATTGTGGAAAGACCTAGCTGGAATCCCGGGCAATTTCTTAGGGAATCAGGTGCTCACTCAAAATTAACGCCAGAGAGATATTCACCCGTAGTGGGGTAAAATTCATTGACTCGCGGGGTTCAATCATATTCACTTCTCATATTGCATACTAGCCGGAATTATGTAATATTAAGGTTCGAAGAGGGTAGGGTAACAATTCTCTTGGCTGGTATTTATTTTTTAGTTGGGCGTATCATTGGCCCTCCTGTGGTGCTGACTCGTATTAATCGGAGGATCGTGGTCCTGAGATCAACTGCAATTGGACAAGGAAAGGAATCTTTAACTCGCGTACCTACATACCTCTGTAGTTCCTGTCATCGGATTTC